TATACACAGATGGAATTTTGAGGACACCTGTTGACCATATGATAACATCCTACACCTCTCAAGAGCCCTCCTCTTGACTGGACTAATAAAAGGAAACGATCTGAGAAGTCAAAGGAAGTGAGTGGGTCAGTCAGTGAGTGAGTTGGTTTGTTTCTCTCCACTCTTGGAGACAGACCTGTTTTATTCTACAATAAAGAGCTGCTCTTGTGAAACTGCTCCCTGTCTGAGGTTACTCCATCATATTGGCCTTGCTGGTGATGTTTCCAAGAAAGGAGTCAGAGGACCAGGACAACAGTATGGAATTGACACTTCGCTATGTCTGGTCATTCTTCAGCCAAGAGCCACCAAGACCTGAGGACAGAGTCCTACCCTGACATCTTTAGTGCCAAAACCCAGGATTCTGACAGTAGGAGGAGAATTCTAAACTCAAGGACTTGCTGCTTTTACATTAAGTAGAAGGAAGCCTGCTCTTTGTTTGGGGGGAGATGTTACCTCATTTCTCAAGGTTGCTCGCTGCAAAATACAACACCAGAAATGGTCCAAGTGGAGGAGTCAGGACTCTGCATTCTTGGCATACCCAGCAAGACTATGATGGGAAGCTCACAGCCCAGCCATGGCAGAATGCTTCTCCCAATAGGTCCCTTTTGCTATATCAATCTTTGCTACTTCTGGATAGGTATCTTGTCTTATCGTGCTTTGGGGGACGTTTTTCCCTTCCTTTTTTTTTTTTTTACACATTGTAGGTTAAAGCATAAATATATTCACTACTAGGTTGACTATATGATTTTACTTAAGACACAAAGCTATAGTTGGCAGAGCAAGCAGGTCTTGGGGTGAGAGGGCTTCATATTTTCATTTATAAGACTTCCAAGGACTCAGATAACAATACAATTGTTATTTTTCCTAACTAATATTTTCTGGGTGTTAGTTAGCTACTTTTAAGCTATGAATAAGATAACTATGTTTTTTATGCCTACTAATATAGTGAAGGTAAATGAGACAATATATGTCAAAAGTTCTTTGAAAACAGGAAAGAGCTAAAACAATTGTAGGAATTTCAATTGTAACGTTTATGCATAGTATATTCAATTGTGCAAAGCAGGGTTACAGAATGTATTTACTTTCTTAGTTACATAGCTTATTATTGGTCAGAGTTAGTAACCATTGTTATTTTAATTGATTTTTCACATTCTCGTATGCTAAATTAATGTCACTCAATTATTCATCTCTGATAAATGTGCAGAGATTATTTTTCCTTTTACTTTAATTCTAGCAAATTTTGCATTTAGAAATGGAAAATTCTGAAGAAAAAACTGTCTTCTAAGTATGTACTGTGTTATAATTGAAAGAGAAGGAGAAGGGGGAAACAGAACCATTAAAAGTTGATTGAAAACTAAAGAAGAGATTGTATTCAAGAGACTTCTGTAAAAGAATAAACAAAATTTGCATCTGTACATCCTACACTGGTACATATGACATTTTTCTACTAACCATCTCACCACCAGAACCATTATTCTCAGCACAGAGACTCTTTGGCCCTGTGTGAAAATTTGTCTGTGTGTATTAGAATTGAGAAGTAAGGAGACTAGAGTGTTGAAACTGTGTAGTATGCACTGGCAACAAGAACATCTTTTTTTTTTTTTTTTTGAGACAGAGTCTTGCTCTTGCTCTGGGTAGAGTGTAGTGGCATCATCATAGCTCACTGCAACCTCCAACTCCTGGGATCAAGTGAACCTCCTGCGTAGCTGAGACTACCTACCTTAATCTCCTGAGTAGCACGTGCCACAACACCTGGTTAAGTTTTCCAGTTTTAGCAGTGATGGGGTCTCTTGTTCAGGGTTGTCTCAAACTCCTGACCTGGAGAATACTCCCACCTCAGCTTCCCAGAGTGCTAGGATTACAGTCATGAGCCACCATGCCTGGCTGCTCCTTTATTTCATCTCCCCACTCCCTGCTTTCATTGGAATTAACCTGCAAACACATCAGAGTGTGTCTACAGCTTTGGAATTGCTTGGAGAATGTGGTATAGAAGAGTAGGTCACTTCCTGTTTTCTTTAGGCAGCTCTCCTACTTTTGTGTGTAATATGTAAATTTATGGAATGTGGTTTTCTCATCTCCTTTATTCCTCCTTTTGTGTCACTACTATTAGATCTATGTACCATTATAACTCTTCGTCTTATAAGATAAACCCTTAAGTGATCTCCATGTGTTTACTGGATCAACCATACCTAACTACCCTTATTCAGGCATAATGCCAAACAGCTGAGAAGAATACAGATAACCAGTGTTAATTCAGTAACGGTGTTGGGCTGACTAAACTCCCATGACACTATACTATGTTGATTATTTGCCCCACTTCATATCTAACATTGTGACTAGCATAGTCAGTGTGAATGAATGAATAAATTGTACTTCAGTTTTTCTCTTCCCACTAGGACATCTTTTAAAGAATAATATCCTATGCTTTCCATCTACACCACCACTTAGCATGTAGTAGCCCCTCATACAAACACACATATTTGCACAATTTTATTGATTGATCTATCTATAGTGTGTGTATAAAATCAGTTAATTTACTGAATATTGTGGCATGTTGATACTAAAATTATTTCTGCTAAACAGTCAAATAGCTGTGATTCAGAGAATAATTAATAGGCTTGAAGTCAAATACATAGTTTAAAGTTTCTTATCTGACACATAGGTGTGTTTTTAGATAAGTCATTTAATTTCTGGGACTCTACTTCTTATTCTATAAATTGAGGATACTACTTACCTCTTAGATTGTTTCTGGGAAGTTCTTTGTAACTGAAAAGTGTTATAGATATATGAAGTGTTGGTTTATTGTTGACATTATCTTTTTATTTTAATCTTTGGCTTCCAAATCCTATCTTGAACCCTGGCTTTGTTGACTCAATGGCTTATGATTCAAGTTTTAGTTGTGTTAGGGAAAGTTAGCCTTATCCTGAAATAGCTCAGATATCTGCCTGTATTTGCTAAGTAAGCAGACACCAAGTACTTTAGCACTTAGGTCATGCTTGATGTGGTAGATTTGCCAGATATTTTCTGTCACTAAAGCCCTGGGGGAACTGGGTTCTTGGTGCTCTTGTCCTTTTTGAAATTGCGGGCTTGAGCTAAATGGTAGAGCTGCTGGGTGTTTTTGTGAACAAAGCTTTCTCAGGATGAGAGGTCCCAAGTGAAGATACCCAAGGAAGACTTCAGCTAAAACTTAAAGTCACTAAAATATGAATCTAGAATCTTCACAGTTACATAACAGAAGGAAATCACTGTTCTTCCATTTTCAAAAAAGTCTCTTCTATCCTTTGATCCCATCCCATTTGCAACTAACCTTTGAGGTGTGTTCTTCTGTCCATATACTATTTTATGTGTAAATAATTTTGATTAATTGCTATATATTTTATTTTGCTTTTTATTCACACAGCTGTTTTAAAACTCTAATGTTGCTACATATACAATATGTCCATTTCTCTATTGCTGCATAGTGTGCATTCTGTGCTCCTTTATAGATGCAAGTGAGAATTTCTTTAAAACCCAAGAGTAGGATTTCCGGGTCATAGGGAGGGGTCTATGTAATTTTAATAAATACCGTAAGACTGCTTTCTAGACAGGCTGCATTAGTCTACATACTCACCAGCAGGGCTCCTATAGCCTTAGATTCCTGCCAACACTTGGCATTATACAGCTTTCTAATTTTTTGCCAATCTAACAAATGTGAAGTGATATCACACTATTGTTGTAATTTGCTTTTCTCTGATTACTCATGTGCTTGAGCATCTCTTCATAAGCTTGTGTGCCTGTTGGGGTTTTTTGTAAGCTGCTTGCTCACATCCTTTGCCCATTTCATACTATAATTACTATATTTTTCTTGAGAAATCTTGGTGTACTCAAGATATTATTTCACTGTCAGTTTTATTTTTTATTTATCTACTTACCTATCTATCTGTATCTTTTTTGAGACAGGATCTCTGTTGCTCAGGCTGGAGTACAGTGGCATCATGATAGCTCACAGCAACCTCAAACTCCTGGGCTCAAGAGATCTTCCTGCCTCAGCCTCCCAAGTAGCTGGGACTATAGGCACATGTCACCACACCTGGCTAATTTTTATTTTATTTTCTATTTTATTTTTTACCAATAGCTATCATTTATTGAGTATTACTATATGCTTGGCATTCGCTTAGCAATTCAAATACAGGATTTCATTTAATAATACCAATAATTCAAATAAGTAGGCATTAATATCCTTTTCTTAAAGATAAGGAATTAAGATAAGAGGTTAAGTAATTTTCCCAAGGTCACTTAGACAGCAGGAGTGGAGCTGAGATTTATAAACAGCTTGTATGAACCTCGAGTTCATTCTTTTAACTACTATTGTCTTCCAAAATTACAATTAACAACCTTTGGAAAATGTGTTATCTGTATCCTGTTGCAAGAAACGAATGTATAGTTTAAGGAATAGGCACCACCAAGACTTTAGAACACTTAAGTTTTGGACCTGTCCTTCCCCGTCCTTGTGTGGGAACTGTGAAATAATACTGCTTTGCCAACTGTGGCAGAGAAAATCTCTGTCCACCTCAAATTCTGGGTCCTTCTATGGCACAGGATGCTCACTGGGAAGCTGCTGCCCATACCTGGCTAATTTTTAAATTTTTTGCAGAAACAGGGTCTCACTATGTTACCCAGGCTGGTCTCAAAAACCTGGCCTCAAGCAATCCCCAGACCCTTTGTCTCCCAAAGTGCTGTGATTACAGGCATGAGCCATTGTGCCTGGCCATTTTCAGTTTTAGACACTGCAAAAATCATCCAATCTGCCATCCTTTAGTTCACTTTTTCCATCATGTACTTTCTTTAAGAACAGAATTTTAAAAGTTTTCAATGCCATTTACCTGATCAAAATTTTGTCTTAAAATTTATGCTTTAGGGTTTTCTTTATTATCTTTGTCTGTTTTGTGCTGCTATAACAGAATACTTGAGACTGGGTAACTTATAATAAATAGAAATTTACTTGGCTCACAGTTCTAGAGGCTGGGAAGTCCAAGGTTGAGAAGCCACATCTGGTCAGGGCCTTCTTGTTGTGTCATACATACTGTGGCAGAAGGTGAAAGGGCAAGAGAGCCTACATGGGCACAAGAAAAAGTGGGGGTGGGGATGCAGAACATGAACACAAGACGGAGCTCAACTTGCTTTTATAATAAATCCACTCACTCCCTCAATAACCATAATAATCCCTTGATGAGGGAAGAGCCCTTATGATCTAATGGCTTCTTAAAGGTCCCACCTCTAAACACTGTTGCATTGGGGATTAAGTTTCCAATAAAGGAACTCTTGGGGACATATTCAAACCATAGCATTTATGAAGTCTTTTAATACCTCATCACAAAAATATTCTTCTTATGTTTACAATTATTAACTTTACAGTTTTACCTTTCACAGTCAGGTCTTTAGCCTTTGGAGCTCACCTGTGTACAGGCATCCAGTTATTATTTTTATCCATTTAGTGAGCTAGGATCCCAGCGTTATCATCCTTTATCATACATGTAAATGCCTCACATTCACGCCTGTCTCTGAGCTCTCTGTTTTGTTCCACAGCTTCCCGCGTCTGCTGTGATTGGGTAGAACTTCTTAATATTGGATTGGGCAAGTTCTCACTCTTGTCTGTCCATTTTCACAGCTGGCTTTTATTATTCCACTTAAACTTAAGCTATTAAGTTTCTCAAAAATTCATCTAGAATTTTGATTGGTTGTGTATTAAATTTATAGCTCCATTTAATGAGAATTGACATGTTTATTACAATAAATTATCCCCTTTTAGAGCATGGGATGTTTCTCCATCTATTCAGATCATCTAGTGTCCTTTGTTAGAGCTTTCAAAATTTCTCCAGAGGTTTTATGTATTTTGATTAAGTTAACTACTAGAGAACTTAATGGGTTTTGTTGCTATTTTTAAATGCTATCTTTTTAGTTAAAAAATTTTTATCAGAGATTGTTGATGTAGAGAAATGCTAATAATTTTTGTTCTTTAATTTGGCATCCAATAACCTTGCTGAACTTTATTATTGTGCTCATATTTGTCTATTGATTTTATTGCTGGATAAATGATCATATATACAAATAATGATAATTTAATCCCTTCTGATCTCATTCCTTTCTTTCTTTTAGTTTATTCTTATAGAATTAAATGAATGATTTAAATCTGTATGTTTATTGTTCTACTTAAGTTTTTTATTCCCCCTTGGGGCAAATCTGGCATTTTAGATTTTCTATCAATTTATCCTTTTTATCCATTTCTTCTAGTCTTTTTAAGTTTGTTAGAGACTAATTTATCATAGTACAGTTTTTAAACATTCTTTTGTATCTCTTCACTGTGTGTATTGTTTATTTGCATATTTTCTGTTTATTTGTATATTTTCTCTTTAATTCTTGAAGTCTCCCTTATTTCTTTTCAAAGAACTAGTTTCTAAAATAAATGTTTTAACTATTTTGAAATAATTTTAGACTTTGAGAAGATTAAGATATTCTTAATCTTAGATTTCAGAATTCAGAAAGTTCCCATACTTACATAACCATGGTAAAGTTAGAAAAACTAAGGAACTAATATTAGTACACTATTAACTAAACTACAGACTTCATTCAGAGTTCCTGTTTTTCCACCAATATTCCTTTTCTGTTCCAGGATCCAAAGCAGGATACTGTATGTTATGGGCTAAATTGTGTTCTCCCAAATTCTTATGTTGAAGTTCTAACCTTTAGTATCTCAGAATGTGACTATATTTGGAGATAGGATATTAAAAGAGGTAAATAAGTTAAAGTGAAGTCATTAGGGTGGGTCCTAGTCCAATATAACTGCTGTCCTTACAAGAAGAAAGTAAGACACAGACATGCATAGAAGGAATACCAGGTGAAGACACAGGGAGAAGACACGTAGGCATCTACAAGCTAAGGAGAGGGGCTCAGAAGAAACCAACCCTGCTGACTCTTTTATGTTGACCTTCTAGCCTAAAGAATTGGGAGAAAAATCAAGTTCTCTTATTTAAGTCATCCAGTATGAAGTACTTTATTATGGCTGCCTTAGCAAAGTAATATACCATATTACATTTGGTTGTCATATTTCCTTAGTCTCCTCCAATCTGTGACAGTTTCTCAATCTTTCCATGTCTTTCAAAGATACTCTCTTATGTTATCAACTATGAATTGTCATTTTCAAAGAATACTGCTCAGGTATTTTTTTGAAGATCCTTCAATTCAATTTTGTCTGATGGCTCTCATAATGAGATTAAGGTTTGGACTTTTGGGAAGAATATGACAAAGGGAAACTGCCCATACTGCATCATATCAGAGAATACACAGTATCCATATGTGTAATTGGTGATGTCAACCTTGATCGCTTAGTTATCACGTCGTGCTTGCCAAGTATCTCCACTCTAAAGTTACTATTTTTTCTCCTTTTATACTTTATTCATTAGAAGTGAGTCATTAAGTTAAGCCCACACTGAAGGGGAGGTATAGTAACTTCCTCTTCCTAGAGGGTGGCGTATTAAAGACTTTGAGACGAATGTTAAAGGCACTATAGCAATGAATAACTGTTTTGGAGGAGATACTTTGAGGCTATTCAAATATCGTGTTTCTATTTAAAGTTTCTCCCAGTAATATCAGCACTCATCAAGGTCTTGCCTGTAACAATTATTATTATAATGTTCTAATGGTGATTTTCTATTTCCCTCATTCCTTCTACATTTACCAACTGAAATTTTTCTGTAATAAAGAGTTGTTCTTTCTTCCCCAATTATGTAATCATTTATGAGTATGGGCTTTAGATATTTATTTTGGGGGTTATAATAATTATTGCTCAAATTGCTCCAACTTTGGAAATTGGGAACTCTTTTAAGTTGGCTACTGTGTCGTCCTTACACGTCTGTCCTTATTTTCTGGCACTATGAAATGATGCTCAAGTGTATCTTGTACTTTCCTTGCTCCAGGACTAGAATTAATCCTTTCTCCAAGGAATCCTGGTTTATTTTACTGGAAAAGGGGGTTTAGATACCAAGATAGGGGTGTTTATTGTACTTGGAAAGAACTAATTTTTGATTTTGTTTTTTTTCTCCATCATTTTGTTCTTCATCTCATTGATTCCTGCTTCTTTGTTATGCAATCATTCTGAATATTTAAGTTTTCTCTGGTGCACCACGTCTACCATCTTGAATTAAATATTTAGAGTTTTTAAAAAAACTCTTGTTTTCTGATAAATGTACAGTATTTAAAGTAACAAATTTCCTTCTAATTCTATATTGTCTATGTTCCACAAAATTTTTACTTATAATGTTTTCACTGTAATCCAATTCTAAATATTAATTTTTTTCAACTTAAGGGTAATCTAGGAATTTGGTTTTATTTTCTAAACATATGAGATATATTTAAGCTATCCTTTAAGAAAGTTAATTTATAATTTAATGCATGAGTAAAAGACATAGTATGATATTAATCCTTTGGAATTTGAGGTTACCTATGAAATAGAATCTGGTTTATTTTTGGTAAATATTCTATACATGCTATAACAGGAAGTAATTTATGTGTCATACGAGGAGCCCAATAGGTGCCTAAGTCTAAAGTCTAACTTATCAACTAATTAGGATGTTTAGATATTTGCCTATATTGCTTCTATTTATTAGATCTATGTCTCTAAGAAAAGTATTTCAAAATTTCTAACTACAAGTGTTGAAATATTTATTTCTTAAGCCAATTGTTGATAAATACACATATACTCTTAGTTACATATATGTTCTTAATGACTGTATTTTCTTGATCCACTGTTCATTTTCCCAATACACTACATCTATAATTGGTTAGGTGTTTCAGGTACCTGTTTCTGCATAACTAATTACTGTAAAACCTGGTGACATAAAATAAGTATTTAATTTTTCTTATAATTCTGTGGGTCACAAATAAAGGCCTTGGCTGGCTGGTTTGTTTCTGATGTTACAGAACCAGCTGAGGTGCTGGGGCTGGAGGATTCACTTCTAAGATGGCTTCTTCATTCATATATTTGGCAACAGGGCTGGAATATAGGAGCACTTCTTGGTTATCTCTCTCTGCACACAGTCACTTTATCTGGCATCTTAGGCTTCCACACAAAAAGATAATTTGAGGGTAGTTGGGCTTCTTACATGCAAACTACTTACCCTTCTCAAGCAGAACCCTTCCCCCAGTCTCATCTCATTGTGACATTGTTTTGAAGTCCAGATGAGGGTGGGGCTCCATGTGTATAATTCATTGACTAGCACCTCTCAATGTGAAGACCTGTCAAGTAAAAAAACATAATTTGTGCCCCCTTCACACCCAACATACATAAGGTAGCAAATTTTGTTATGTATTGTGGTAAATGATAGGATAACTACAATAAAACTCCAGTTCAAAAAGCCAGCAAACATGATGCACATAGCAGTTACCAGTCCCTGGCAATTCTGAAATCCACTTGAGCACATATCAATTGCTTGATTAGGACCCAGTCTTTTTCCCTGGGAATAATTCCTGAAGGTCTTGGCTTAACCCTCCGAGCTCTTGATTCTGTCCTCTGAATCATCCTTCCTTTTTCCTAAGAAATTTCCTGTGGTTGTAACTGAGTAGCTTTCTCAGCCTGCCTCTTGATCAAAGAAGATTGGAGGGAGCATTTATTAAATTTTGTCCTATGTCTTTCCCTTTTAATTCAAGATGACAGTGCTCATGCCTATGCCATACATTAAAAAATGTTGTGGATTTTCTATGAATCTTACTAAATTTCACTCTGACAGAAGCCATACCCACAAATTTCTTTTGAGACACATAGTTTTTTTTTTTTATTTATTTATTTTCTTAGAGATGTGTTCTCACTCTGTTGTCCAGGCTAGAGTGCAGTGGTGCTATCATAGCTCACTGCAACCTCAAACTCCTGGGCTCAAGCAATCCTCTGTCTCAGCCTCCCAAGTAGCTGGGACCTCAGGCATGTGCCACTACATCCTGCTAATTTTTAAATTTTTTTAGAGACATGGTCTTTCTATGTTGCCCAAGCTGGTCTCAAACTTCTGTCCTTAAGTGATCCTCCTTCCTCAGCCTCCCAAGTAGCTGGGCGAGGGACACCAAGCCCTATGAGAAAGTCAGTTTTCTATTGTGGGCCTTGTGGCTACTGTGCATTAAAGCCTTAAGAATCTTAGAATTCCTATTGTTTAACAGGGAGAGTCTAGGAGGGATACCCACATGATCATTAGAAGGACTCTAGTCTAGCTGAAAGGTTCTATGAAACCTTAGATCTTTTGATGTCTTAAAAAGGATTTTACAACCCCACCCTGAGGTTATTTTTTGCTCTGAAGCCATTTGCTAATTTGAGGATCTTTAGCTAGAAGAGACTAAGGATAAGAAACAGTTTTGCTTTCAAATCCAGCAGTCCTGGTATCTTATATTTCTTTTAAATTTTTCTCAAAAATTAAGCAGCTCCATACAAGCATTATTCCCAATAGCCAAAAGGTAGATGCAACCCAAGTGTCCAACCACAGATAATTGGATGAACAAAATGTGGTATGTATATACAATGGAATATTATTCAGCCTTAAAAAGGAAGGAAATTCTGACAGATGGTACAGCAAGGATGAAACTTGGGAACATTATACTAAGTGAAATAAGTCAACCACAAAAAGACAAATGCTGTGTGATTTCACATATATGAGGTGCCTAGAGTATCCAAATTAAGAGACAAAGAGTAGAATGGTGGTTCTAATTCACAAGTTTGTAGAGTGAGGAAATGGGGAGTTGATAAATGGGTATAGTGTTTCAGTTTTACAAGATAGAAAAAGTTCTGGAGATTGGCTGCACAACAATATGAACATATTCAATACTGCCAAACTATACATTAAAAATGATTAAGGTAGCAAATTTTGTTATATATGTTTTACCACAATTTGTACAAAAAAGCCCAAACAAAACAGTAACCAGCTTCGTTAGTCCATGTCTTTCTTTTTATCTTTTTTTCTAGGTAGCTAGAAAGAGCCAGATAGTACTTTCTGCATTTGCCTAGCAACCTCCTCAGCCAGAGGCACAAGTTCATTTGTTCATAAGTGATACTGCTGTCAAACTTTCCACTATTTAACAAAAGTCCCTTTTTCTTTTCCTTCCAATAACATTTTCTTCATTGTCCTTCAAGACTCGACCAACAGATTTCCATTTTCATTAACCATCCCTGAGACCATTTTAGCTTCTGCCTCTGCATGGTCCAAACCTACTGCCACATGTTTTAGGTTTTGTTATGGCAGCAATCCATTTCTAGGCACTAGATTCTGTTCCAGTTATCTATTGTTAGAAGTGAATGACTGATGGCAGCTGGTCTACCAGCACCTGTTTTCATCAACTCTTTATTTCAGCAGAACTTCTGCCCTGGCGCTCCATCAATGTTGACTATATTGGCTGTTACTGCCAAGTTCTTGTAGTGATGGAGCAGGAAATCACTGTCCAAAGTAAGATGGGGAAGAAGCAAAAGCAGAATTTCAAAGCTTTCCATCAATCCATCCAATCTCTCTTTCTACTCATTCATAGCAGTTCAGCTTGGGTTATTTATTTATTTATTTTTAATCATTGTTAGTTTGGGTACTCCTTAGTTCTCTCCAGCATCTATAATTTCTTTAAGGTTAATTTTGGGGGTGGAATGATTTAGGAGCTGAGGGAAAATGTTAAACCACATGGACCATGGCAATTTTAGTCTATTGCGAAAAACAGATCATTAAAAAGCAAATAATATACTGTGCTAAGTGATGTGAAGAATATAAGCACTATGTATTATGGGGAGAATAAGGAAGTCAATTCCAAATCAGACTTGCAGTTTGTGGGAGGCTTTAGAAAGGGGTCAAGTAGGAGTTATAATGTGAAGCTCAGTTTAGGCAAAAGGACTTAAGGTATGAAGGCATCTATAAAGGAATGGCTTTTTAAGATAGCATGAATTTTTTAGGACCCTAAATGTAATTCTGAATTGTTTGGAACAAAGACTATATGCATAAGAATGGCTGGAGAGGATAGAAGTAGGAGGGGCCTGATTATAATGTTATACCAAAGAGCTGGGATTTATTCTTTAGAAAAGCAAACAGAATTAGATTGACATGTTTCAAAGACTACATATACAGTAATATATATCTAAGCTTTAGGGTCCCTTGCTTGCATGGGAACTTTCTATAGTTGTGGAATGAGTACTCGCAATGAGTTTTGTTGTCAATTGTTTTTGTAAAATTTGCAAAAATAAGATATTTTGACTGCAATTGCCTCCATTTCTACTATTATATGCTTTTCCTAGGCTGTGGGCATTTTGAGAAACTGGCTAAGAGGAAGTTCAGGATATTTTAGTCTGGGTTTAGTAACACATATTAAAGTGACTACTTCTGTGTATAGCTAAATTATTGCTAGCCATGCTGGCATAGAAATGGCTTCCGGTAATAACTTTTACCGCCCACGGAGCCTACCCATCTAGCAATAACACAAAGATGTGGGGTCAAAGGTCACACTGTGATACAAATGCATATTCGTGATTTTTAATTTGTTCCCTAAATAAGGATCCTAAATTGATACAAACTTCAGGACATGCAAACCAGGATCTTCCCCTGGAGCAACACTAGGCAGGACCAGAGAGTATGCTATTATTAAACTTTGTTTTAGCTCTGTGAATGACGAAGGCATGAACCAAGGCGGCGGCCATGCAAACGGAGGGGAAGGGTCAGAACACAGGAAGCACACACAGAGCCCAACCTGTGGCACTTGCCCACTGTTCTGACTGGGAGGCCTTACGCAGAGGAAGACCAGTAGGGGAACCACAAGTCGGACGGGCTTGCTGCATAGCAGGTATCTGACAGAAACGTAGAGGCAAGTGCTGCTTTGCAGCAAAGCTGCGCACCGAGGTGTTTGGGGGATTCTATTTGCTATTACTTTACATTGTCTGGAGGCCACTTACTAGGCTTTTTTGGCTCTGGCTTTCCCGTCCTAAGGCCACGCAACAGGAGCCACTTCCTCGCCCTCAGAATTTCCCAGCGCGCCGCTCGCCGGATGTGGAAGCGGCACTTCCGCCCCAGGGGAGCCCTCTGTGGGATGCAGGGCGCAGGCGCAGTGGCCGCCGCCCGGCCTGGCTCATGGGGGTCGGTGCGAGTGTTATGTGAGTCCTCAGCTGTTGACGGTCTCTGGGTGCCTTTTGTCAGGATACTGTCCCCCACGACGACAAGGTTTCCTCCCACTTACTCTCCCAGGCCTCCACGTCCCCCGCAGGAACTCTGTGGCGCCTTCCCCAGGGCTTCGTAGGTCTCCCGGCGCCGAGGCCAAGGCGCTCATGAAGATGCGACAGGGCTGCTTTCCCAGCTGGGAAACACACAGCTCGTTACCTCAGGTGCTTTTTGCGCAAGGGCGGAATGCTTCACGAGCTGGATTTAAGGTCTGCAGTTTCCATATATGAACCTGAAATTAAGGGGGGAAAGCTCTCAGCGATTGACATACCTTTTTCTGAAGTGCGTTTTCTCCAGGGAAGGGACCAACCACAGCAATTGCAGTCTCCTGGAATTCCACGTTAGCCCCTGTCCGAGTGAGCTGGAAGATTGTGACATTACCACTATCTTGCGATTTCTCCCTATTTGTAACAGATATTAATAGTGTAACTTATTTATTTATCATAGCCATCCTTTATCTCACACGAGAACCATTGATAAGATACATGAATGCAGCATTTTTTTTTGTTTTTACCTCTGCTTACTAATGCACTTCAAAGGCAAAGAACAATTCTGGCTCATAGTAGGCACTCAGTAAATATTTACTGGATGAATGAAAGAATGGTCATGTTATTTTCCAAAGAGCATAAAGTAGAACCTGAAGTGGCTTTAGATGATTGGCATAACCTATGTGAGCTGTAGTTCTATTGAAAGTCCTAGTAGTGAAGGCAGTCTGCCAGTCAACAAATGTTTATTGAATCCTTGCTTTACCCCAAATGATAGCTTTCCAAATTCCTTAGAATTTAGCATCCATTCTCCATTAAATACTTTGATACTTTAAAAAATGTCTTATACCTTTTGATGTCTCTTAGAGGCAGGGCCTATATCATTTGCCTTTGTGTCTTCCATAGCATATCTTACTATGTCTAATAGTAAGATATGCTATGCACATATCACTATGCACATATTAGACAAGAAGTATTTGTTGAAAGAGGAAAGGAGTAAACTGGGTGGGATAAGGCGTTAGGTTACTTGGGAATCCAGTTATTTATCACGTGAATATTTGTTTCATAGAATGATGGCCCACAACAGTACTATTTTGCTAACTGGGGTCTATTATTCTGAAGAATTTGCATGTTTGCTGTGATAATTTTGGGGTTTTTATTTCAGTGATCAACTGAAAAATTAACTCAAACATATTCTGAGTTATCTGGGTAACCAAATACTGATAGGAGGTTTTAGTGTCCCTGTTTGTTTTTGTGTCTCTTTTGAGCATAATAGCACTAGGTAGTATAGTACTTTGTCACAGGTTAAAGAACAGTGGCAGGCCAAAAAAGCAAATGATGTATTCATCCCAAATGAAGCTCAAATGACATTAAGCCACTCTGTGAGAAGACTTTAAGTTTAAAGGGAAAAAAGAGATGAGAGAAATGAATCATACAATGTGGTAGAATAGGCTTGCTGAACTAGCAGTCAGTACCATTTTTCTGTTTTGAGAGATGATTTAGTTTTGACAAAATATAATCATTGGTTTTCTTAAATTAATACTTTAAATATTTTTGTTGGTTTTATAGTTTTGTTTGCATATATTTTGTAATTTTGTGGGTTTTTGGTGGCTATAAGAGCTATAAAATAAGAAAGTTGAGCCTACTTTTATGTTTTGTATATTTAAGTAATATCGTAATGAAAATAACTTAAGATAGGGGTATGGAGCCTTGAAAATATGTTTAACTTTTAGTAGTTTTTAGTGGGGTGTTTATATTTTACTCAGGTTTGTGAAAAACCACATGAGAAAGCTTCTGGCTTCAGGGCTAAGGACACCGAACATTTATTTCAGTTAAGTTCAGGTGTGATAGTTCAGTGTAGGACAGATATTTTTACAGCAGCTGATGCTGATGGTGGTAAAAAACAGAAGGGAGGGAATCTTAAGAAAATGTAGAGATATTAGTTGGAGAAAATAGAGGAATTTTAGACAAACTTGGAATTTTCTTTACAATTTAGCTTTTGGCTGGCTGTGAATTTGTGTGTTGTCTTTCTTAGTGACTCTTCTCAAATGGCTAAGTGAAATGCAGTCTTTCTGTTTCCAGATGTAAAACAAAATATCTTAGTCAGCATTTCTGTAGGTGATGCAAATCTCTATGCTGGGTGTGGAGCACTGGGAAGCTCAAAGAGCTGTTAAAATTATGACAATAGAAGTTCAGAGGAAAGAGGTGCTTATTTTCTGATACTGTCCTCTCTACTCTCTGCAACCTCATTATCACTGGCTCTGTAAATGGGAAATAGGAGTAGAAAAAAATGACACGAGGGCCTTGTTTTGATTTACTTTACTAGAAGGGTTACTGGACACAGGTGTTATTTCAGATTCAAGTTTTCTGCCATGTCCAGAGCAATATTGTCTGGAGTTCAGTAAATCAACAGATATTTATAGAACACCTGTTATGTGCCAGGCATTATATGAGGAGCTGCAGACAGCTCCCTGCCTTTGGGACTCAATGTAAAACTAATACTTGTTGATTTTGTTCTATTCCCCATCTTTTGGTGTACTTTAATTAATTATGAGTAGGTAATTTAAAAATTTTAGTATGTTGTTTACGCTGATTTGTCTAATTTCTAGGATAAAAATACAGAGAGATTTTAAAGGCTTAGATTAATTTGTTCTTTTTATTCTTCTCTGTTTTTAGGGGTGTCATGAAAGTTGATATAAATCTTCAGAAAGTGGATATTGACCAATGTTCAAGCGATGGCTGGTTTTCCGGAACTCACAAATGCCACCTTAACAATTCAGAGGTAAGAACATGAAAATAAAAACCTCTGAAATCAGAGGCTCAGAAATGTATTACTTTTGAGTATGTTGTATTTGTGTGGGTAAACGTGCAAAAGGCATCTTTCTGGGGGAAAAAGTCCAATGCAGATTTCAGTGATGCCAAATGAACCGAAAGAGCAGTAGGAAATAAAATTTGTGCAGAATAACTGTTCATTTGGGGGCTAGGTGAAGGCCAAAGCTAAAATTATGTTATAGGTTGGTCCTATTCTTTGAAATGGGTTAGAAATTTAAAATAGACATGAGGTGAGAAACCAGTTTCAGGCAGGACCAACCAGATTATGCACAGTTTTATGGAAAATGATGCTTATTGAAACATGGTGGAATTCATTCAGACTCTCTGCCATCTACTAGAAAAGCACTAGAAGAGGTATGGCAGTGCAATTTTGAAAACAAGGAGAAAACAACGTATAGGGAACTGGAAAAGAATTGTGGATATTTGTGTGTGATTTTTCGATTTCAAACTCTCGTCCTTGCTTGATTTGGTGGGACTCTAGTTGATAAGGATCAGGCATGGAGATCATCCTTCTGTAAATAAGACTGTCACTTGTCCTTGTAGTTTCAGAGAAGAAATACGATGACATACTGATGATTTATTTCACTTTCAGTAATCTATCTCTGAGGTCCCAAATGCTATGAACAATAAAGCTTATGTATTTTGTATACAATAAAGCTCCTGATCTTAAATGCTTGGGATATGCCAACATTTCTTCATGAATTTGTGAGGAGAGTAAACTTGATTTATTTAAAGTAGAGGGGATATTTCTACAAATGTAGTAATCTACATCTTTAATTTGAATTCTGGCCATTTGTGAAAGGTGGTTGTACATAGTGGAATTTTAAGGTAAATTAGAAGTAAAGCTAACAGTAAGCACTTATTTGTGCCATTACAAACAAAAAAAGCACATAGACATGTGCATAGGCGTACATATGCATGTATTGTAAATGTATGTATATGTGCCCATTGCATGTTTACCATGTGTATTGCCTGCCACAAATACCCCTGCCATACACAACCCATATGCCTCCATACTCCCCACCCCTATACACCGCATGCACACCTCTGCCCTGCCCCTACACTCTCCACTACAATATTCCTCAACCTTTTGCCCCCAATAAATCCTCAGAATACCCCACATCCCATTAAATCTGTTGCATCTCTCCACCATATCCAATGACCCCTCAACTTTCTCAACAATCCCCATTCCCACAAATCCCCACACCTCCTCCCTCATGTCCATATACCTCCACACAGACAACCCTCCACCCACTCAGTTGGGACCCAATGATGGGTGTTAGTATTTCTGTCGTGTTAATTCACAGACGTTAAGATCCTCTTTTTGTCTCTTTTCCCTGTTTGTTCTTACAGTTTTGTACATTTCTGAGCCTCTACTACCCTTTGGATGATTTTGACATTTCTAAAGATATGAATTTTGGTCACTGATTTGGTGAATATCTTTAACCTGATTATTGTCTCCATGCCAATGGCATATAGCCACTTCGCATTGTCGTTTAGCCAGAGTGGACTTTTTTCTGCATGGGTGTCATATTGTGGATATTGATCTGTGTGCGCTCATTTCTGTATAGCCTTGTTTCAGTGGTGCTCCTGGGTAGTTCGATAAAAGCAGTCTGTCTAGAAACAAGAAGATACTTACTTTTTAGTTTATTACAGTTGCTCCTCACCTCTAATAATCATGGTGTGGTTTTGTGTGTTTATAGCACATTTGTTTATTTGACTTAATGGTCATATTGCAAGAACTGTTTTCTATTTTTGGAAGTCTGATTTATTTTCATTGTGTCAGGATTATTAATTTGCCGGGTTTTGTGTATTTTTAAAGCTTTCAAATAAAGTTAGTTATTTCAAGATATCCTCTATTCTGATTAACAAAGACTGGGTTAAAATGTGTAACTTTGGGGATTACAAAACAACTGATAGTTCAGTGAATTTCACTTGAAAATGTTATAGAAAGAGGTTCAGTGATCAAAAAATAATAAAAAACCTGCTGGATCTACAGAATGCATATTTGACTTGGAATCTGGGTCTCTCCCACCCTTTTTCCTTGCCCAGGCACTGAAGTTGAAAGTAAAGAATCTTTGTGTCCTGGGCTGTGCCCATGAGGCCCTTCGTGGTGTAGTCTGCCCTGCACAGTGCTGTCCTGGAACTCTTTATATGTTTTTTTTGCTGGGCTCCTCTAAGATCCTGTAGTTTGTACTGTTCACTCTAGGCACCTGCAACAGTTCCATACCATATCCTCACTCTAGTCGCTAGGAGTAGTCTTTCAATTCCTTTCCCATACTGATGTGAATTGGAGAGCAGAAACTGGCTTCTCTTGAAGTTTCTACTGCTTGGGAAAACAGAAAGAAAAATCTCTTGCTTGGGGCATTTTTCATCTGCTCTGGCTCTCCTTTGTTCTTTGTAACAAATCTTCTGTTACCAACCCCAAGGATTACAGTGTAAGCTGGCTTATTTTGGAAAGTACTTTACACAATTCACATTTGTAGGATGTAGGGTCCTGTTTTTATAAGTATCCATATTATTAGAAATAAAGACTCTCACCATGATTTACAGTGAGTTTTATCTTGCCAATGTTTAATATTCTTCTCTTGTAAATAGTAGAGGAAGTTACAAATTTCACAGTTATAAATAAGGCAAACTTTTTGCTTTAAAAAATTTTCTGGCCATGTTGTCTTTTCAGCCTCCAGGGTATGTTAAACTAGAATAGCAGATCTGATGTTAGAAATAGATTAAGTGGTACAGAACCATTGACCAAGGCCTCTGGAGCATTTCAGGAAGGCATGGAATGGTTTGTGAAGAAAAAAATTTGTCAATGAGTTTAGGTCATGGCTAGGTCTAGGAGGCCACTAAGGAGTTTTTGAAGGACATAGTAAAATAAGATCCTGAATCAGCACCCTGAACTGGATTGTAGGATTATTCTGGCTGTCTTTATAACAGATCCCAATCACTACAAAGTGGACTTGATCATGTTTTCAGTATACCTGTAAATAATTCTTGACCTATTTTTATATCAGTGTTTATTTTGAGTACATAAAATCTTCTTATACAGAATAGTTTATTAAAAACATAAAATTAAATGATATTGTTATTTTAAAGATTTTTCTTTTGCTTTGTTTATACTATAAGAATTATTTTAATCATTATTTCAAATAGGAAACATTAGGGCAGTGGCCTTGCAACTTTTTGGTTATATTCTGTTAGTAAAAATGCTTTAAGCATGAACCTATGGTATATGTATACTTTAAATTTACAGAGTATATGTATCTTTTGTTATATTTGTATATTCAGTATATTATAAATTAGAAAACTAAGGTTGAGATGTAGATGAAATAGTATTTAATATATATTATATTATTTGATAAAAATAAATATACCTTTAGAGCAATATAATTGATTTATAATTTTTACAGAGTTTTAGTAAGAATGTTATGATTGATTCTGTGTCATCATTTTTGAAAATCTTAGTTTAATACTTAGTAATACAATGATTCAGAGGTCTCTAAGTTCAATTTAGTTTTGTATTTAGTTTTAAAATCTGTCATTGAAAAAGATGCCTCACAAGGATATATTAATCCAAATTAAAGAAATGAATTGTTGACTCTGCTAAATTATGATCATTTTTTAGTTCTATCTACTAATTTTGCAAAGGATTTTGCAGAAATACAGCTGGCAGTTTTTCATATTACCTGATGTCAGTTGGTCCTTGTGAACTAATTGGAAAGCTGGGCATTTGAATATTTTAAAGGAATGTTAAAAACCCATTGAATCTCTTCAAGTGGAGTATTTTAAAACCAACAAGGAAGTTTTATTTCCAAGTTCAAACTGTAGGTCTATGTGAATATTTTTAGTTTTTGGCAACAAAAGCCACATAACCACTGAAAACATTTTTAAATATCCATTTTCAAAATGTTGATTTCAAAAGACTTTCTCATGGATTGTTAAAATGTCACATTTACTTCAAAGGAATGGCTTATGTATTTTTTTAAAATACCTGTTGCATAGATGCTATTGACAGCCAACCACTTGTCATCCCAGAATAGGGAAGCAAATTTAGAACATTTGCCTTTGTTTTGTAAAGAACAATGCCTAACCAATCTTTAAGCTCAGAAAAAAGTACTTCACTTTGAAATAATCAGAAAATCTTTGTGTGGGAAGATATTCTCAGTGACATACCATCACATTATGAAGAATTGTAAATATTTTATAATTTAAAATAATATACTCTGAAAATCCTTCTAAATGGCCAAATATAAATGGTAATAAATTGAAAATTGAAAGCAAATGAAGGAACCAAGTAGCCATTGTTAATATTTCTGTCTTGAAACTCCCAGTTTTCCTTCAGGATCTATCAAGTCCCTTATCAGATTTATGGTCACATGAAATGTAGATTGAGTGAGGGCATTGGTGTTAATGCAAGCCTTAAATATTAGCAAAGCTTAATTTATTATTTTTTATGAAAAAGTTAAATATAAATGGAAGTTCTAGTATTCTCTTTATGCATGCCAATTAACCTCTTGTGTACTTTGCTTTGGAGACCAATTTTGGCAGTTATCAGATTCACTGTTCTATCTAGAATCACTGGAGTGGCTGTGTTATCACCTCAGTCATTGGTTTTATATTGCTCTAAGATAGTTTCCCATATCTCTTTTTTTCTTTGGGATGTACTGGGTGAAAATCTATTTGTAACTGGTTTTTGCTCCATTAGATGTAAGTTAATGGATCTCTAAAGATATATTTTTAAATGGTTAAAAACATCAGAAAGGATATCATTTAGTATATGAGAAGAGGAATTTAATGCAAAGATCCAAAGAGAGGAGTTAATCTTTCTTTTTTGAAAACCCTCTTGCATACAGAACATAGCTTGTTCATTTGGCTACAGAAGGGTTTAGAGTACTGTTGTAGACATCTTTCATTTAATTTAACTTCCAGTTTAGTGAACACCACTTAGAA